CTTTGCTGGAAGCTTAGAGAATATTTACCAGTTACCAAGACATTGGATTTTTATGCTTCACCAGAACAGGCACAGTAGGAAAAGCAGACAGCCTTCTTTTTATTTTTTTTCTTAAGATTTATGTATTTATTATATATACAATGTGTGTTTGCAGGTACACCTGTACACCAGAAGAGGGTACCAGATTTCATTTTAGACAGTTGTGAGCCACCATGTAGTTGCTGGGAACTGAACTCAGGATCTCTGGAAGAGCAGCCAGTGCTCTTAACCTTTGAGCCATCTCTCCAGCTCCAGTTTCTTACTTTGTGTTTCTTTTTTCACACTTATTTATTTATTTATTTTTATGTATATGAGTGTTCTATCTGCATTTACACCTGCCAGAAGAGGCAATTAGTTCACATTATAGATGGTTGTGAGCCACCATGGTGGTTGCCAGGAATTGAACTCATGACCTTTGGAAGAGCAGAGCAGACAGTGCTCTTAACCACTGAGCCATCTCTCCAGCCCCGCAGACAGCCTTCTTAAAGAACAAAAATGAAGAAGAGGATTACAGTTCCCACTATTTGAGAGACTGAGGCAGGAGGACTGCAAAACAGCACCCATTTAGGTTACAGAGCGAGTTCAGGGCTAGCCTGGGCAATGTGATGAAGCTCTGATGCAAAATAGGGAAGGTGAGCTGGGCTCGGAGGCACACCTCTGTAATCCCAGCCCTCGGGGAAGCAGAGACAGCCAGATGGCTGTGAGTTTGAGGCCAGCCTGGTCTACAGAGTGAGTCCAGGACAGCCAAGGCTACACAGAGAAACCCTGTTTTGAAAATATTAAAAAACCCAAACAAACAAACAGACAGACAAACAAAAAACAGAAACAAAACAGGGAAGGTGAAAAAGGCTGTCACTCAGGGTTAGAACACTTGTCTTGTGTGAGGCCCTGTCAATCTCTTGCACGGAGAAAGAGAAAAAAGCAAAGGCAGATCAGGAGAGGGATACTTCTTTGGATTAGCATGAGAGCCAGAGGTAGATGGGTTTGAAGGGTGGGACTGAAGCCAACCAAGTTCTCTTTGGCCTCTTGCCCAGGTCAGGGAGGAACTTAAGAATCAGAGATGAAGCCTCGTCCCTCCCTAGGCCAGTCACCTTCTGACAGACCGTCTCTTCTGCCCAGCAGACCTGCCTACTAGCCTGGGATGTTGCACCCTCCTGGGACTCGAGAGAGAGGTTGTGTTGCAAGTGCTCCCTTTGATAGGCAGAAAAGATAGATCCTCTTATCTCTAGGCAGAAGCACTCTGCTCTCCCTTCTCAATGGCCTGCCTCAAGGGCGTAAAGGCTGCCTTGTGAAAGGAAAGCTCCCTTAGCACACTGAGTCAAGTTCCACCAGGGCCTTCTGCCTGCCAACACGCACCCGATCTATTTAACACCCTGTAGTAGCTCTGCACTATCCCCACAGTAGGTTTCGCCGCCATCTACGGCTTCTGCCTTGCTTTGCTGTGCGTTTTATCATATCAAACTCTGAGAGGTAGACACAAGTAACTTCCCTCGAACTGGGTACGCTGTCACACGGCTCTGGGAGCTGTGGGGTGAGGTGAGAGGCAGACAGAGCTTTGAATTCAAGGCCAGCCTAGTCTATATATTGAGTTCCAGGACTTCCAGGGCTACACAGAGAAACCCTGTCTCAAAAACAAAATAAAACAACTGGGCTGTGGTGATGTACACCTTTAGTTCCAGCACTTGGAAGGCAGAGGCAGGCGGATCTCTGTGAGTTCAAGGCCAGCCTGGTCTACAGAGTGACTTCCAGGACAGCCAGGGCTACACAGAGAAACCCTGTCTCGAAAAATCAAACCAAACCAAACCAAGAAATCACTTACTTCCCTCAGTATATATTTTATATTCCGTATTTTATATACCAGGCACTAGGCAGTATTCTTAGGGATTTTTCATTATATAGGATAGTTTAATTTTTATACCAATTTCACATAATTTGTCCTATTGCAATTTCTTTGGCATCTGGAGGCAACAGAGAGGTTAAATAATTTGACTAATAATGCAAATGACTAGTAATTGTCAGAGTGGACGTTCAAAACCAATCAGGGGCATTCCAAATTCTCTGCTCTTAATCATGATCCATGCTATCTTTAGGAAGAATTCTGACTGACTCCTGGTGGATATTTGTTACCAACATGAGAAGGACATGGTGCTCAAGGCAAGCCATGGGGGCCAGATCAGCTCAAGGACAGGGAGAGAGAAGGGGCAAAGTACAAAAAAACTTACACTGCAGGTGAAGGAAACTCCAGCATGTTCAACTCCCCTCCCTCCCCTTTAATAAACTGAGGGCCTTGATTTATATTCATCCATCAATATTATCGGTGAAATAGCTGGGTGATGCCTCCTTCCTGTGGGTCTAGTGTTGTGGTATATTAATATTTACTATTGATTTATCTTTTAGTTTAGCAGCAATTATTCCTAAATAGCTGTATAACCAAATCACCACACAGAGACGGGATTTATTTAATTAACCTAGAACACAATGCTGGGCAATAGTTACTCCATCCTAAACCTCCAAGCCCGCATAGTTTCCTACCATTCAGATTTCACCCTCCCAGAATATACTTGCTTTTAGTCATATCTTTGGTCCAGTTTATTTCTCCACGTAGTTCCAAGACCTCTCCTGCCAATTCTCCTCTTCCCTGCCTCCTTCCTCTTCTTTCCACCCCAGACCAGGATGTCCCACCCTATCAGCTCCATTGCTCAGCATTGTGGCTGGTTGTTTTAATTGACAATATAGAGAACAAATGGTGGCATGTTTACACAAACTTGAGACAGGTGATGCTTAGAATAAGCACCACAATGCAATGTCCAGATTGAAACCAGATAGTGGGGGAGAGAAATCAGTATTTGAATGAGAAAGGGTAAATTGTATATGTTCTGAAAGAACATTGTACCAACAGTCTAGATTTTTGCTTTTTTGTTTGAGACAATATGGATCCCAGGCTGACCTTAAACTCACAGTCCTCCTGTTTCAGCCCCTTGAGTGTTGTAGTTGCACCACATTCAGCTTGGATTATTATATTTATTTAATGTGTGTGTGTCGTTTTGCCTGCATGTAGTGCATGGTTGCTGAGTACCTTCAGAGGCCAGAAGAGTTACAGACAGCTGTGAGCCACCATATGGATGCTGGGAATCAAACTTGGGTCACTGAAGAACAGCCGCTGCTCTTAACTGCTGAGCACCGGCTCTGCAGACCCTCTTCTTGCACTGTGAAGCGAGTGCTATTCGCAAAGTGCTCCTCCAGGACAGCATCTCCGACGTCCTCCCCAATCAGCTTTCTCCCTAGACCCCTGCCCTGAAGACTCTTTCCCTTGATAAAAGTGTCAGAGCTTTTAGCCAGGATACAGCTACACTCCCTGAAAGTCCCTCTCTTTAACTCCTGTAGGAGGGCCGCAGAATTAGGTATCTTTTGTGTTCCCTGTGAAAATTGGGATATTGGCCAAGACCCAGGAAAGTGAGCTGTATCTTTTACTGTCCACTCTCTGTGTTGCTTGTCCAGTCTCTGTGTTGTCTGTCATTTGGGCTAGCATTTTTTGAAGATGATTTGCATGCCCATTTTGGGAAAATCAGTAACTGAGGCAGTCTGTGAGAGTCAATCATCTGGGCTATTTGCTTTGTGAGGACATTCACATCTCAGGTAATAAGAGGTTTTCCCTGGTCAGATCTAATCTCTATAAGTTTTGTTGGTAACCATATTTCCTCATTCCCTGTTGATACATAAGCATAACCATATCCCCTCTCAAAACTATTGCAGTTGTCCATTCTAGTGTCAACACATCCTTATAGTATATTGGTTGACCTAGTTCTTCGTTTTTTTTTTCTATAACCCAGTGTCTCTCAGCTGCTGTCGTTCCATTTTTACTGACATTAAGAAAATTTAGAGTTAACAAAGCATTATTTAGTCTGTCCCTGGGGGCTTTGCTCTTCCTTTTTGTTTAGCAAGCATCTCTTTTAATGGAGGTTTGGCTCTTTCTGCAACTGCTTGTCCTGTAGGATTGTGCCCATAATCTGCTTTATATTGTAATATGCAAAGAATTGCTTCATCTTACTGGATGCCTGTGGGGGTGCATTATCAGTCTTAACTTGTGCAGGTATCCCCATAATTGCCATTATTTTTAACAAGTGTGTAATTACACAACCAGTCTTTTCAGAACTTAAAGCAGTTGTCCATTAAACCCTAAGTATGTGTCCATGGTATGGTGTATATATCTTTGTCTTTCAAATTCTGCAAAATGAAAAACATCCACCTGACAGATTTCATTTCTTTTGGTACCCCTAAGGTTACTACCAGAAGGTAAAGGTATTTGGTTATATGGAGAACATGTAGGACTTTTCCCCCCCGCTTTTGCTTGTTGGCAAGTGATAGAAATTTTTCTTCTTTAAACGTTTCCTATTAACATGATGTTTCTCGTAAAATTTGGAGGCTTCTAACATATTCCCTATTAGTAACTGGTCAACTTCCTAATTCGCACACCTCATACACAAATACACATAACAATACAGTTAGAAGAAGAAGAAGTAGGAGAAGGAGAAGGAGAAGAAGAAAACAAAAACAGGATGATGGGCTCTGGGGAGTGTACACACCCTGGGAACTAGTCACCTTGTTTAACAAAGCATTTTTGACCAGTAAATCCAAGTGTGTACACAGCTGAAAACCAAGTAGGGAGGTCACTTTCCCTCCTGGATCTTATCGTTTAGTGAGAAGACCCCTGCTCTGCGACATGAGCAAGCTCCTGCTCTGTGACCCTGGAAAAGGAATGCCTTCTCTTCTTACTCTGTAAAACAAGTGGGTTCCGACAAGGAAATCTGCCACTTTCTTCTCTGGCAGTATCCGGAGTGAGGCCGGCGAACCTCCCGGGTTCTGTGCTACAGCCGGCCTGCCTGCAGGGGCGCTGTTCCGGCCACGAGAGCGTCTGCGTTCCGAAAGCGCGTGTCCCTCGCCGCCCGCCGTCGTCCGCGCCGCCGCGGCGAGCGCCGCCCGGTTCCGCGGAGCCGGAGGAGGCGGAGCTGGCTTGCCCCGGCTCCAGAGCGGAGCGGCTGCGGAGGAGACGGTGCGGCTGGTCCGGGCGGCCCAGGCTCGGGCGCGGAGGCCCGGGAGGCTGGCAGGGGGCGGCGGTAGCGCGGAGAGAGCGGCGCCACGGGCGGGGCGCTCCCGGCGTGAGGCGTGCGCTCCATGCGTGCGGGCCGAGCGCGGCCCCCGCGAGCCTCCGACATGAAGAAAGACGTGCGGATCCTGCTGGTGGGAGAACGTGAGTCCGCGCCCTGCCCGGCCTGGCAGCCCGGCCGCCCCCTCCCAGTCCCTCCGCTCGTCCCTTCGCAGGGTTCTGCCCTGTCCCCCAGTGCTCCTCGCAGGCCTTGTCCCCTCTAGTCCCCATCGCCCGACCCTGTCGCTGCCAGGGCTGTCGCCTTCGCCACTTGGAGTCCTTTCCTCTTGGGCCTCGGCGTTTCTCCGGCCACCTCCTGTCGGACCCTCTGGTCGCCTGTCAGTCACTGCCAGGCAGATGTTGGAACAGGCCGACTGAGGACTTGGGACTGTGGGAACCGGCTCGTGGGGGACGCTAGGGGGAGGAGTGAACTAGTAGACTTGTGGGCAAGGTCAGGCTTCTGGATTTTTTTTTTTTTTCCCACTTTCTGTCTTCGCTGCTACTGTGCATGGGCATTAAGAGGAAGCCTTGGGTTGCCTGTGTAGCTCAGCAGTATGTATAAAGATCTGGGCTCAGTTTCCAGCACCAGGGAGTTAAGATAGAGGGTTTTTTTTTTTTTTAATTTCTTTTTTGCTTTGCTTTCTTTCTTTTTCTTTTTTTGACATACTTGGCCTTTCTGTTGAACTATCGCCTTGAAATAATACAAGTACTCAGTGGACGATACTTAACTAGTGAGGGACCTTTTAGTTGAGGCAATTATTATCCTACAAGTCTGACTTTTCGCTCCTTGTTAGCCATTCCATCGTTATGTGGTAGTTATTTTATGAGTAAGAGCAGGCATATAAGACCGTAGCATACACAAGTCCCCAAGACTCCCTAGAGATTGCTAGGTTTCACTTTTTTTGGGGTAAAGGAAACAGACAACAACAAAAACAATGCTTTTGCTGGCTGACATGAAGACAGTGTAGCAAGGATTCCTTATCTTACTACAAGTTACATGACTCAGTCATGGGTACTAAAATTAAAAAGAGGGCTAAAGAGGACTTGAATTTATTTATAAGTTCATTAGTTAATGTCTTGCTATTGCTGATTTGAAGCGCTTTATTCTAAACCACATTGTGTTTTGAGAAACTTCTGTAGGTCACTGTGATACATTCCCAAAGAGGAAAGTGCACGCATTATTATAGTTGTTGTTAATTTTTGTTTTTTGTTTTTTGTTTTTTTTTTTTTTTTTTTTCAAGACAAAATTTTTTCTGTGTATCCTTGGCTGTCCTGGAACTTGCCCTGTAGCGCAGGCTGGCCTCACAGAGATCCCACTCGTCTTGATTAGGGTAGGGTGTGCTCTTGGGACCCAGATAGAGGGAGTCAGGTCCCTTTGGAGCTAGAGTTACATACAGGTGGTTTGAACCACCTGGGTACTGAGAACGGGCTTTGGGTCTTCTGCTTTTAACCTCTCCAGCCCCAAGTCTGCGGGCCTCAAAAAGGGGTGGGAGTTGGGGACAATGATAACCACGATGGACAGTTTACCCATGTAACTGTTTACCCATGTAACTGTAGCAGATTTTTTTGAGAACTATTTAGTCAGAATTTGGAACTAAGCTTTGCTAAACATAGTTTGCTTTCTGGTTTGAGATTTGAATTTTAGATTTTATTTATAATGATAAAATTTTAATTTTTTTTATTTTTTTAAAGATTTATTTATTTATTATGTATATAATGTGTGTTTGCGTGAATACCTGCACACCAGAAGAGGGCACCAGATTTCATTTTAGATGGTTGTGAGCCACCATGTGGTTGCTGGGAATTGAACTCACGACCTCTGGAAGAGCAGCCAGTGCTCTTAACCTCTGAGCCATCTTTCCAGCCCAATTTTTAAATTTTTTATAATGATATCTTAATCTGTGTTTTGCATCAAATTCTCCAACAGTAAAAGCATTATTTAAGGTATGGTTGATGCTAATATGTTTGGAGCAAAATTAGGGAAAGTGAGCAGGTGACCCCTTGACTGTATAAAGGTCCGATACTTTTTTTAATAGTTTTTTTTTTTAAATAGGTATTTTGGATTTGGTGTTCAATATAGAAATCAGTTACATGTCATTAGTGTATAAATTGTCTTAATAGAAATGCCATACATATGTAAGATTCAGTGTCAACCTTTAGGATATTTACATTCAACTTTGACAGTATTTTTTAGGAATATGCAGAAGCTTAAAATTCGTTAGAAAAAGTGTGTCATATGGCAATGAAAGCAAATGAAAATTGGTCCCTCTGTATGTGAGTTTTCTGATCATAGGGAGAGAGGAGACACTGCTTTCTTACTAAAAGGGTGGTACCGACCATGCTGATGGCACACATCTGTAATCCATTACTCTAGAGTCTGAAGCAGGAGGATGGCAAATAAAAATCACAATTTAAAAGGGCTAGGGTATATGGCTGAGTAGTCTATTGCTTGACACCCATGAGGACTTGAGTTTAGTCTCTAATAGCACAAATAGGGAAGGTCGGCGCCAAAGCTTTAGGCCACTCGCTATTAAGAAAACAAACTTCAGCCAGGCAGTGGTGGCACATGCCTCTAATTCCAGCACTCAGGAGGCAGAGGCCAGGTGGGTATTTATGAGTTCAAGGACAGCCTGGTCTACAGAGTGAGTTCAGGACAGCCAAGGCTACACAGAGAAAACCTGTCTCAAAAACCCAAAACAGGCAAATAAACAAAAACAAGAAAAAAAAGAAGTGAATCTTCCTACTTCAAAAAAAAAAAAAAAAAGAAAGAAAGAAAAAAAGGAAAAAAAGAAAAAACCAACAAGCTGGGTGGTGGTGCACATCCTTTAATCCCAGCACTTGGAAGGCAGAGAGGCAGGTGGATCTCTATAAGTTGCAGTTTAGCTTGGTCTACAGAGTGAGTTCCAGGACAGCCAGGCTACACAAAGAAATCCTGTCTTGAAAAACCAAAAGAAAATAACCCAACCAACCAAAAGGAAAAAACAACAACATATGTATGTATTTTCCCTCTCTTCCTTCCCTTTTCTACCCTTTTTCTCATTTGGGAGAAAGTATTAAATTTGTTTTGTTAGGCTGCCCATGAGCTGGCTGTGTAGCCAATAGTGACCTTGAGTTTTTGATCCTCTAGCTGTACCTCCCGAGGGCTGGGATTACAGGTTTGTGTCGCCCTGCTTAGTCTGTTATGTGCTTGGTACCAAACCTAAGGCTTGGTTCTTGCTAGGGAAGCTAGAGCTCTACCAAGTGAGCTCCTCAGCCCGTGTATACATACGTTTTCTTTCTTTTTGGGGGTGGTGGTGGTGGTGTCAGGTTCTATACTCTGTATAGCCTTGGCTGTCCTGTGTAGACCAGGCTGGCCTCTAATTGCCTCCCCAGTGTTCTGACTAGAAACCACCCAGCGTAAGCTTTTACTTTTTAAATTTATTTCTTAGATTTGTTTATTTGTGTGTGTGTGTAGATCTGAGGACAACTCGTGGGAGTTTGTTCCTCCTTCTACCGTGTGGGTTCTGAGGACTGAACTTTGGTAGTCAGGCTTTGAGGCCGGTGCCCTTATCTGCTGATCAATCTCACAGGGCCTGCTTTTTGAGAGTTGATGTAAATTATTGTCAGCCTTTGGCCTAGTTGTAGCATTTTAAACCCTAGATTTAGGGCATACACTTGTTATCCTAGCACTCAGGAGGGAGGTCACCACAGGTTCAAGGCCAAACCTGGCTTATCTAGTGAGTTCTAGGCAAGTCTAGGATACATAGTGAGATACTGTCTTACACACACGTGCACACACCGACAGGATTTAAATATGAAATGATCAAATGATAGGTAAATGTGTGTCAGAGACTATTTTAATATAGACCTGACACATTTATTATTTATTCCTTTAGAGAAAAGTGACTGTGATTTGAGTTTTTAATATGCTTGTTAAATGTATCTAATTTTCAGTTGCTTTGAGATGGTTGGGGTTAGGGGCGGCAAAGATAAAGGAGTATCTATCCTTTCTGGTATTGTGGATTTCAAGTGCATTCTTTTGTGTTACTCTGTTACTTTGTATTCCTGCTAGTGTCTGTCCCTGAACCAGGCGGTGGCAACTTCATTCATTGGTGCTCTTACTTACTGCCTGGGATTTGTTAGATAGTGTAGGTTGTCCTCAGATTTATACGCCTCAAGGATTGCAGGCATGGACTGCCCACAGGTTTGACCTCTTGCCTTAAATCCAATGGATACGGTTATGTCAGGATCAGAAGGGACAACATTTATCCATTCTCTCATCCTCTTGCCCTTCGAGGTCTGGGAGAGGTCTGTGTTCGGCTGTAAATTAGATAAGGGAGTTACTGTGGCAGTAACATGTTTATTTCATGTCTTGCTTGTCTTCTCAATGAAATTAATGTCTCAAAACACTAGAGGCTTTAGAGAATTGATGAGGATGAAGAATGGTTCTTCAGGTATAAACTGGCATAAATCTAAGAGACTTTGAGTATAAACCAACATATATTTTAGAAAACTTCCTAAGGCCACTTTAAAGCCTGTTGCTTTCCATTTAAAAAATATTAAAGATTAAATTGCTCTAGATATATTAATAGTGTTTATACCCATTATCTAGAACAGTGGTTCTCAACCTTCCTAATTCTTGCACCCTTCATTATAGTTCCACATGTTGTGGTGACCCCCAACCATAAAATTATTTTTGTTGCTACTTCATAACTGTAATTTTGTTACTGTTATGAATTTTAATGTAAATATCTCATATGCAGGATATCTGATATGTGACTCCCGTGTCGTGACCCACAGGTTGAGAACCACTGATTTAGGAGCACATGTGGCTAAGGATATGTTCTGTACAGTCTAGAGAATGATTTACAAATGCCATAAGTTGGGTTGTGAATGAGTGAGTTAGATATATAGTGAGCCAATGTAAAAGAATAAATATTACAGATAAATTGATGGGTGATAGGTAGATAGGAACTCCAGGTGTAGGGGGTCTTATGTTCTCCTCTGGCCTCCGCTGGTACTGTATACATGTGGTGCACAAGCATCCCCACTGGCAGACTGCCGATACACATAGAAATAAATCTTGACAAGGTGCACACCTTTAATTGCAGCCCTTGGATGGCAAAGGCAAGTGAGTGTGGGTTTGAGACTGGCTTCGTCTACATAGTTCCAGTACAGCCGGGGTTATAGAGGAGACACTGTCTGGGGGGAAAAAGGCAGTATGCCTGTCTCCTCTGGGAATAAAGGCATGCCAGCTAGTTTTGTTCTTCTCAAATGACCCTTCCCCCTTCCCCTCCCAGCATCTTGTATATGATAAGCCAGTGATCTGCCACAGACCTGTACCACTGCCCCGGTTGGCTTTTCTGACATTTTGTTTACAGACTTAAGAAGTGGGTCGCTTTCTTTTCTCCTTTCCTCTCTGCTCCCTATGATCCTTTGTTTTAAGTAGAAGGATTCAACATAGTACTTGGCCCCTTCTATGACAGTTTGGTTGTCTTATTTAAAATGTTTTTCATATTATCTCCATGTAGTACGTAAGACTAAAGTTTGTATGTAGACAGTTATGTAAATATCAAATGAACTAAAGGGATCTGTACAAAGAGATAAATCTTGGAAAGCAGAAGTTCAGATTTTTATGTGTAACTGGATTTTTGGCTATTTTATTGGGATCTTTTTCCTACCTCCCTACACCATCCCTATCCCATTCAAACCCCCAACACTAGATAGGAAAAAAGAGGGGAAAGGGGCCATGGATATTGGCAGACTACTTCCTGCTGATTAGGGACATTGAGTTCCTTGGGGCAAGTTTGATCATTATATTTCAGGATAGCTTTAACCAGCAACAACAGCAGGGGGACCATTGAATTTATATCCTCTCAAGAGTCCCCAGAATTCCATACGTAAACTGTCCAGATGGCAAAACCATGTCCCAGCCAGAGCATGAGACGATTGTAGTTAACTGCTGTGGTCAGTTTGAAGCAGCCCTATATCCCACACCTAGGATTAAAATAAAAACATAATATATTTGTATGTTTGTTTGTTTGTTTGGAGATAGGGTTTCTCTATGTAGTCTGTCTTGGACTCAGTTTGTAGACCAGGCTGGCCTTGAACTCACAGAGATCTGCCTTCCTCAACCTCCCTGAGTATGTGCCACGTGCTTGGCCATTTCTGTTTTTTTTTTTTTTTTTTTTTTAAGATTTATTTATTTATTTATTATATATACAGTATTCTGCCTGCATGTGCACCTACATGCCAGAAGAAGGCACCAGATCTCATTATAGATGGTTGTGAGCCACCATGTCATTTCTGGAAATTGAACTCTGGACCGCTGAAAGAGCAGCCAGTGCTCTTAACCTCTGAGCCATCTCTCTAGCCTTCATTTCTATGATTTTAAAGAAACTAAAAATCTCACTACATGTGTGTTTCTTAGTTTGAGGAGACACGTGTTTGTGTGGATCTGCTTGGATAGAGGATGTTATGTTCTCAGGTTTTTGTTTTGTTTTATTTTTGAGAAATGATTTACTTTGATAAACATGAGACTTTCCTGTCCTCTGCATTCTGACACCAGTTCTTTGCCATCAGCTTGGTGTCCTAGAATTCTCCTTAGTTCTAATGCTACCTCGAGTAAGTATCCACTCTTACAACCTGAAAGGCAAGGGTCCAAGATTGTTCTCACTTTGGATGTTAGGTACAAGTAGGGTTTGTAGTCAAACACTTGAAAAGAGGCTTCTCGCCACCCCTCTCAGGTTTACTGATTTCCTAGAAAATGGTACACTTACCATCTCGCAGATGAGCAGCTAAGTGGAGAGATGCACAAGGAAAGGTTGGCGGGATCAGGTACTTTGCATGGAGCTAGTGTACCACCTTGCTGGTATGTTCACTAACCTGGACGTTCTCCTGAGATGTGATGCCTAGAGGATTTATATATGGGGTCGTTTTTTCAGTAATGATTAACCCATTATCATATGGTTGGACTCAAGTGCCAGTCCTCCTTTTCAGTCTCTTTTTAGGTTTTACGATGAGGCTGAAGGTTCCAACCTTCTGCTCATGAGGTTAGATTTTTCTGGTGACCAACCCTTATTCTGAAGCTGTCTAGTCTGTATCTCCTAAAATGAGTTCTCTCAAGAAGATGAACTTATATAGTTATTTATAGGAATAGACTAGCTGTTGTTAGGAAATTGCATGAGATTTTGAAGCTGCTTATCATAGTTCCATATTCAATTTTGCTATATGGAATTTCAACCTTCGCTTTTTACTAAGAACATATTGGATACAATGATTTTTAAAATTAATTAATTAATTAATTAAATTTATTGAATGCTTTATTTGCGTGTACATATGCATGCCAGAAGAGGGCGTCAGATCATGTTATAGATGGTCGTGAGCCACCAAATGGTTGCAGGGAATTGAACTTGAGACCTCTGGAAGAGCACCAGTGCTTTTAATTGCTGAGACATCACTCCAGCCCCTGGATACAATGAATTTAGGGTTTGTTTTTTTTTTTTTTTTTTTTTTTTTTGAGACAGGATTTCTCTGGCTGTCCTGGAACTTACTCTACAGACCAGGCTAGCTTCTAACTCACAGAAATCTACCTGCCTCTGCCTCCTGAGTGCTAAGTTTGAAGGCATGTGGGTTCGAGGCCAGCCTGGTCTACAGAGTGAATCCAGAACAGCCAAGCCTACACAAAGAAACCTTGTCTTGACAAACAACAATAACAACAACGACAACAAAAAAGGACGAAAATAAAGAAAATGAAAGAAAAGAAAAGAAAGCTTTGAACAAGAGTTTGAGAAGCGTTGGGAGGTAGGAATTGTAGGAATTGTTTCCCTGGCAGTGCAGCTGTGCCTGGGCGCAGAGACGTCCAGCCAGACAGTGCTGCAGAGCCTCCATTCATGGAAAATTAGAGGATCTGACGTATCAGCCACTTGTTTACACATATCTGGTTATTGTGTTCATGGAGATGCATACATGGTATGTATGTTACATTCATAGCAGCTTATATGTCACCCCACAGAAGTGGTTTAGTGGAAGGAGTGGAGGCAGTGAGAGCTATGGTAGCTTTGGGGGTCGTTAGGTTGAGGTGGGACTAAAGTGCCCCGAAGAGATGATTAAGCCATGGTGGTGCACACCTAAAATCCCAGCACTCAAGAGACAGAGGCAGAATTCAGGGCCAGCCTTACCTGCAGAGTGAGTTCCAGGACAGCCAGGGCTACACAGAGAAACCCTGTCTCAAAAAACAAACAAACAACAGCAGCAACAACAACAAAAAAACACCACAAATAAAAACCATATATACATACATTAGCATGTGTGGTACAAAGTCAGTGCTTGTGCTGTGTGAAGCATAGAGTGGCCTTATTTGTGCAAAGTGCCTTAGTGGACAACAGTGGAAAATGAGATTAGGTAGGTGAGCTGCAGGTAGATGGTACTTTTCTTGAGAACGATTTCAATGTGATGTGGTAGTTCAGTATGCTGAGAGTTTAAAAGGTTGAATTAGAAAATGAAGGGTGTGTAAGAAATGTATATTGTTGGTAGATTAATGAGGGTGGAAAGTTGGGAACTGGGAAATGTTTAAATGAAAATACCAGAATCAGGCAAAAGGGCAAGCAAAGGCAAACTTAAAACCTCAGGCTAAGTCCATTATGGCAGGTGCCAGTGTTTCTAGCACTCAGGAGGTGGGAGGACTGTTTGGAGGACTCTCCAGGAGTTCCAGACTAACTTGGGCAGGGTAGTAGGTCTCCCCTAATAGTAATGAGAAAAATTAACAGAATTCTAATGCAAAATAAGAAACCTGAGTTAGGGATGGCAGTTTATCCTCCTGTTTAGAAATGCTGTTGACTTTTAAAAAATGATTTATTTATTATGTATACAGTATTCTGCCTGCATATGTATCTGCACACCAGAAGAGGGCACCAGATCTCATCATAGATGGTTGTGAGCCCCATGTTGTTGGGAATTGAACTCAGGACCTTAGGAAGAACAGTACTGTTAAGAGTACTGTTAAGACAGTACTCTGAACCTCTGAGCTATCTCTCCAGCCCGGTGTTCACTTTTTGATGATACCCCTAAAGCCTGTTAGGATGTAATTTTTATAAAAGGACACACAATGGCCTCATGCAGAACTGTCCCACACATCTTAAGATATATAGAAGTGCTCCTGAAATATCTGTTGGGCCTAGGGTGGAGCCCAGGGGCACTACACTTGCCTAGCATTTGAGAGGCCCAGTGTTTGAGCTCAACACACACAAAGTCCATACACATAAAAAGTATATATTTGTTGAAGACATAAGAGAATATATTTCACTTGTCAATATTTAGATTAATTTTTACCACTAAAATAACTTAAAATAGTACTTACTGGCATTTTTTAGTAACATAATTTCAATTTTAGAAAATTGGAAGTCTTAAGCAGGGCTCACGAGGCAGAACAAGGGAATTTCTGAGTTTAAGGCCAACCTGATACAGTGACTTCCAGGACAGCCAGAGATAGATAGATAGTAAGACCCTTTCTCAGAAAGAGAGAGAAGAAAATCTCAAGGTCATTCTAAGCTACATATACATTTTGAGTTCAAGTCCAGCCTAGGCTACATGAACCTCTGACTCAAACAATGCTTCCAGTATACATTAGACTAAAGAGACTTGGCAACCGATTTTTTCCATTTTCTATAAAGGTATAAAGGATAGTAGTGAATAAAGTTAGTAAGCTGGATAATAGTACTGTATTTATAGTTAATTTCATACCTCTGACATGATACTTTCTCTACATAGAAGAATGAACTTTTAGGAAATATACACTAAGATACAATTATTCTCAAATGGTCGCGTGTGAGACAACTAATAAACTTTGTCGTTCCTGGATTTGAGTTCCTGTAGAACTGAAGTGGTTTATTAAAGTGACGATTTTTCTCTTAACAGCCAGAGTTGGGAAGACATCACTGATTATGTCTCTGGTCAGTGAAGAATTTCCAGAAGAGGTAAACATTTAATTTCCTTATCATGTTTAGTTTTGGTTTTCGATTTATAAAAAAATAAGTTAAAATTATATCAGTGCCACCTTCGTGTGTTTCTTCACCAGTTGGGTTTTAAAAAGCTCTTGTTAGTTTGTAGAGGACATCACCTTATGAAACAGCCTAAGTTCTCATTTTGTGCCTTTGACTTTGCTTTTAATTTTCTGTACATTGTATGTTTGTGTTTGCACTGCCCGTGCTTGCCGCAGCACAGCGTGGAGGTCAGAGGGCAGCTTGTGTGAGTCAGTTCTCTGCTCCTTCCATGTGAGTCCTGAGGTTCCACCTCGACTGTCAGTCTGGTGGCAAGTCACCAAGCCTTTTCACCAGCCAATGGCATTGTCATTTGTGATCCCTGGATCTTAGATGGTGGCAGAAAAGATCCAGGGATCATATCAGCCATGTAACCTGTTCTTAGAGGTAAAATGTTTTCCAGAAAGAGATGCAGAGTATTGTGTGGCTTGAAACCAGATTATGGTGTAGGTACCTCTTGCCTTCTGCCTGTCCCTGAGATGTTTTTGTCAGAAATATTAGAATTCTGATGCAGCTATTACCTGCCTGTTTCATTTTACAAATTAGAAGTGAGTTCATTCTGTTTTGTCTACAGATCCAAAGAATTGTTGTGTATGACATTAAATTGTAATAATGAAGTGCCACCAGAAACCAGGTAGTTTTAGTTTTGTTACTATGTTTACCGTTACTGGTATTTTGAGACAGGGTCTCATGTACCCTAGGCTAGTTTCAAACTTATTACGTAGCTCAGGATGACTTTAAACCCTTGATCCTCATGTCTCTGCTTCCTTGTTGCTGGGATTATAGGTATGCACCACCACACTGGGCTAAGCTTACTTACATTTTAAAATCCCTGAGTGAGGAGATGCTGGCTCTTGTAATGTTAGGGTATTGGTATCGAAAACAGCATCAGTGCAACAGCATAGCAAAAATTTGGACTTTGTTGGTGATGGTTTGTTTGTTTGTTTGTTTGTTTGTTTGTTTTGAGGCATAGCCTATATAGTACAGGTTGGTCTCAAACTTACTATGTAGCCATGGCTGGTCTTGAATTTTTTTCTGATCCTTCCACTTCTGTCTCCCAAATGCTGGGTTTACAGGCCTGACTTGTTTTTTATTTCTTCCTAAGTGTTGTGAATGTCAGAGTTTGGGGCTGGAGAGACAGCTTATTACCTAAGAGCACGTGCTGTTCTTCCAGAGAGCCCATGTTCGATTCCCAGCACACCTTAGGTGACTCATAGCTTCCCTAACTTTGGCTCTAGGGCATCCACATTCTTCTGGTATGTATCTCCCCACCTACCCCTACCCCCAACACACACAAAAGTACATGCGTTCGTGCATTTCCCTTTTTTTTGGGGGGGGGGGGGGCATTGGTACAGGGTTGTGGGTTTTTTTGTTGTTTGCTTGTTTGTTTTTTGTGAAGCCTTGGCTGTCCTGGTTTTGCAGACCAGGCTGTCCTTGAACTCACAGAGGTTTGCCTACCTCTGCCTCCCTGAATGCGGAGATCGAAGGCGTGCACCACCTCCCCTGGCTCATTTATCCTTTCTTTACTCTTGTTTAGAAAGAAATAATCTTACAGTTTTATTGCCGAGGAATTTGATGTGTCACAACAGTGTCTCTGTTTTTCTGGATTTTTGTGGTGGCTGGGATTGAGTCCAGGGTCTGTGTGTACCAGCAAGGGCTTTCCTGCTGAGCAATATCTCCCATTTTAAATGTAAACCCATTGTAAATTTGTTTTCAGCATTTACAATTCTGTGCTTTCTTTTCTCTTTTGCATTGAAGAATTAAATTGCTGGGAAGTGGTGGTGGTAGTAGCCCCCTTTAATCCCAACATTTGGGAGGCAGAGACAGGCAGATCTCTGAGTTTGAGGCCAGCCTGGTCTATACAGTTCCACGACAGCGAAGGCTACACAGAGAAACCCAGTCTCAAAAATGAAAACAAAACAGAAAAGAAGAGTCAAACAGTAATTTGTTAATTTTGAAAGTATATTGTGGAATCATTAACATTACTTTAGAATTACTTAGGGTATAATACCTAAAGTTCTCAACAGAGGTTTAACTGAGGAGCTAACAAGATGGCTCAGTGAGAAAAGGTGCCTCCTTCCAACACTGACAACCTGATTTTTATTCCCAGGACCCACATAGTGGAAGTACAAAACTGACAACACACTGAACTCCATTGTGTGCTCTGATGCTCGTGCACACAATAAATAAACAAAGTTAAGGAATCACAGTGAGTTCCCATCCAGCCAGGACTATAGACTGAGACCCTGTCTCAAGGAATAAGGAAGTTTTAAATGTTTAACTGAAATGAAGATAGAGTTGTTTTAGGGTATTTCTCTTGAGTGGGGATAAAAGTCATACAGTTGAAGCCAGAGAGATGCTCAGCAGTTAAGAGCACTAGGTGCTCTTCTAGAGGACTGGGTTTGAATCCCAGTACCCAGATGGTGGCTCACAACTGTCTGCTAACCCTGTTCTAGGGAATCCAGTTCCCTTTTCTGGCCTCCAAGGGCACCAGGTATGCATGAGTTTCACAGATAAACATGCAAGCAAAATCCATATGCATAAAAATAAATTAATTAGAGTAAAAGAATGAGCCACCACATTTCACAGTTTTGTTGAAAATATGCAGTCTTCAGGGGGGCCTGCAGGGATGGATACTCCAACCAAGGACCATGCATGGAGAGGACCTAGACCCTCTGTTCTAAGGAAGCCCATTGGCTGCTTAGTTTCCAAGTGAGTACCCTAGTAAGGGGTACAGGGGCTATCTCAGACATGAACTCAGTGGCCAGCTCTCTGATCACCTCCCTCTGGGGAGTGCAGCCTTGCCAGGCCACAGAGGAAGGTGATACAGCCAGCTCTGATGAGACCTGATAAGCTAGGGTCAGATAGAAAGGGAAGAGGACCTCGCCCTATCAGTGGACTAGGGGAGGAGCATAGAGGAAGAAGAGGGAGGGAGAGGGCGGGATTGGGAGGGAATGAAAGAGGGGGCTACAACGGGGATACAAAGTAAATTCATTATAATAAATATATAAATAAAATAAATTTAAAAATATTCAGTCTTTCTAAAATGTGAAATTACTAAACACAAGGCCTATGGAGCCAACCAGTTATCATTTAGCCTAGACAAAATTAATATTTATTGGTTACCTTGACAGTTGTCATTTTGTTTGTGTTTTTGTGGGTTTTGCAAGGCTGAAGATTAAACCCAGATAAGTTCTCCTACTTGAGTTACACCCATCAAGATAACCTCAGATTAGCATAGCTCCTTATTTGTAAAGTATCTTAAATTCTTAACACAATACAATGAAAACAATTTATTTTTAAAAATCTAATGTTTGAAGACCAAACAGAGAATTGTCTTAAGTTTGTTAAAAAACTTGAGATATCCATAATATGGCCTCTGACTACCTAGGGCCGGACATTTGCTAGCCAAGTGCTCTGCCATTGAACTATACCCCAGCTGAAAAGTTGTTTTTTCCTTTTATTTTTATTTTATTGTTAAATTTTTATTGCATTTTTATTTGTTATCTTTCTCTATGCATATATGCCCACAGAACACATGAGGGTTTGGGGGATCAAACTCAGACTTCACAAGCACCCTTACCTACTGACCCGTCTTGCTGGCCCTTAAAAAATGTTTTTATTGTAGTTTTGCTAATCTGATGAAGTGCCCCAATGAAAGCATTTTAAAATGCAGTGAATATCTACAAGGATAGCTCTGAAAAGAAGGACCTGATATAGATAAATCTATTGGTCTATTACTAAGTTTGATGAATAATTTCACCACATTTATTCTTTTTTATATATTTTTTTCAAATAAAGGTTCCTCCTCGGGCAGAAGAAATCACCATTCCAGCTGATGTCACCCCTGAGAGAGTTCCAACACACATTGTCGATTACTCAGGTAATGAGTGGCCTCTTGTGGGTGAGGCTCTGCAGTTGACCTCGCTGAGCATAACCTCGCTGAGCTTTTAAAAATGTTCACAAGTTCAGTGTTTGAGCTCACATGCTAGAGCTGGGTGTGGTGGCACATGCCTATAATCCCAGCACTCTGGGAGGCTGAGGCAGGTGGATCTCTGTGAGTTCGAGGCCAGCCCCAGCCTGGTCTACAAAGCGAGTCCAGATAACCAAGGCTGCACAGAGAAACCCTGTCTTGAAAAAACAAAAAATAAAAAATAAAAAAAGATCATATACTGCTCTTGCAGTGGACCTGAGTCCAGTCCCCAGCATCTACATCAGATGGTTCAGAACCTCATGTAACTCCAGCTTCAGGGTTATCCAGGGCCTGTAGCCACTACAGACACATGTAGCATGTACACCCATACACTTGTGATCACACAAATGTGAATATGTGTACATACATGTATGTATACTATACACACAAACTTAAAGGAAGAGGAAGAAAGTTCTGAATTGTAAAATTTGTTAAGAGGATGGGGATGTCGCTCATTTACCTAGTGCTTGCCCAGCCCTGATTTGATCTCCAGGATCATACACATGGACGCATATATTACAATGATTTGTTAAACTCTATGTGTGTTTTTAAATTCTCTACCTTGGTTACAAAAAATTTATTAAAACGCTCACTTTGGGAGCTGAGGAAATTGCTTTGTAGTTAAAGTACTTGCTGAGCAAACATAAGGACCTGGAGCCAGATCCCTGGTACCCAAGTAAAAGGCTGGGCACTGTGGTTGTAATGGCAGCACTGGGCAGGAGCGGAGCCGGGCACATCCAGAGCTCACTGGTCAGTCCAGCCAGTTTGGGAGACTGATAGAGGAAGAGACCTGACACCATAGCTGTCTTCCACACATGTGTACACACACATGTGAACACAGAGTTCATCTGTTTGTGATAGTCGTTACACTATACATATTACTGACTTTATTCATTTATTATCTGTGTGAACATCAGTGTGTCCCATTATGTGTGGAGGTCGAGGATACCTTGTTGGATTTGATTCTCTCCTTCCACTATGTGGGTTCTGGGAATTGCCCTTAGGTCATCAGGCCTGGCAGCAAGAGCCCTTATCCACTGAGCAATACTACCACCGCAGAAAGGGAATTCTTCATTGTCAGGCTACAGTTTTGCCTCTGGGGCTTTCTTGTTATTACTCCTGCCCACTGTGCTGATAGTGTCCAGATTCTCTGGTCTTGGGCTCTGTGTCTGAAGCACTCAGTCTTCTTTCTTGACTTGCTGATCTCTTTTGCCTGGCCCTTTTTCAGCTGGATCAGATCCTGGCCTAGATCTTTGACACAAGGCCTCTGCCCTTCTCTGCTGGAATTGTTCTCTTGATTCCTTCTTCCGTGCTGAACAGTTCCTTATCTTACTTCAGGCTTTTTCTTTCTCTGGGTCACCCTCAGTTTGCTTCCTTGCCTGGTACTACACTATGTCATGCTGAAAATTTATTGTGCCTGTAGGTATGTAAGTGTAAATGTGTTCATGCCTAGTGCCCGTGGAGGCCAGAAGAAGGTGTAGGGTTTCCTGAAACTGTGCTTGCAGATAATGTGCTGTGTAGGTGCTGGGACCCAAACCAGGGTCCTCTGAAAGAGCAACAAGTTCTCTTAACTACAGAACCATCTATGTCAATTTTGTAAGGCAGATGTTGCATAGTTTTCGTTCTGTTTTTATCTTGTCTGTTAGTTATGGAAGTTTTTGAAATATAAAACACTGACTTTTGTCATTTGTAGAAGCAGAACAGAGCGATGAACAACTTCACCAAGAAATATCACAGGTATGCATTAAAAAATTGTGTGTGTGCGTGCGCATGAGCACTGATGGTCCTATGAATCTATCTTTTTAGTTCTCTTACCAAGAATATGGTTTTTTCGAAGGACAGTTGTGGATTGAGACAGTTTCTTGTAGCCCAGACTGGCCTTGAATTCCCAGTGTAGTTGAGGCTTGTCTTGATTCCCATGCCTCCATTTCTTGAGTGCTCTGTAGGTGTTTACCAGGAGTTTCTCAACTCTTTGTTGTTGTCATTGGTGTTTGAATATGTATTTTTGCTCTAGTTCTTTAGGGATACTTTTTTCTTATAGGTAGGATTTTTTTTTTTTCCTTCCAAAACCTTTCCCCCTTTGGCTCAAAATCTTAGGTAGTTGAAAGTCAAGTGCTATTGTGTATATTTTATTTCAAAATGTCACTAATTTTTAATTTTTTTAGGCTAATGTCATCTGCATAGTTTATGCTGTTAACAACAAACATTCTATTGATAAGGTATGTTTACATTTTCTCTATATTTAACTTCAATGTGATACTATTTATTTACTTTTTTTTTTTTTTTTTTCCTGATGAAGGGTCTCACTGTGTAGCCCTGGCTGTCCTGGAATTCACTCTGTAGTACAGTCTAGCCTCAAATTCATAGATCCATCTGCCTCTGCCTCCCAAGTGCTGGTATTAAAGACCATTATTGCCTGGCTTTTGTTTTTGTTTTTAAGGTAGGGTCTTGCTCTGTATCCTAGCCTGGCCCAGAGATCCTGCCTCAGCCTGGGATTCCAAATATGTGCCATCATGCCTAGCTTTATGGGGCAAATCTTATCAAAGCTGATCCTCCATTGAGAGTTAAGGGATTCTTAATAAAATAGAGAAGAGAGATGGCTCAGAGGGCCAGATGTCCAGAAGCCACTCTTCATCTATAACTCCATTTCAGTTCTAGGGATCTGACGCCCTCCTCTGGCCTTGGCACCAGGGATGCTCCTGGGGTACAGATACATGTGCAGACAGAACATGCATAATCATAAAATAATAAAAACTTAAAAATAAAAGAATGCTTTTTACTTTTTGTGTCTCCCACTTTTATCTTATCTTATCTATCTATCTATCTATCTATCTATCTATCTATCTATCTATCTATCTATCTATCTATCT